CTGCCCTTGCTAATAAGCATGATTATAAGCTTGTAAAACTTACTGTAATAGAGGGGGCAAGATGTTGCAGTCAAGCACATAGTCTCTACACATAGTACTGTCTCCCGCAATATTGCCAAGAGCCCAAACAGCCTGAGGAGGAGGAAGAGACAGAGACTGGGTCACATTGCTTAGAAAATAATCTTTTGTCTTATGCATTCCAGTAACAACAACAAAAATCATATTTATTAAATAATATTTGAAGACCACTCATCAGCAATGACGCCAGAATGGAATACCATAAAATAATTAAATCAAACCTAAAAACAATAAATCAGAATTTTTTAAAAAGTCAACACACAGTGGAGCAATAAAATATAATAAAATGCCATCATAAAATGGCAACCATGAATTATACTAAATATTTATTTAGCTTTTAATACAGTGCCAAAGAGAAAATAAAGATAATGCCATGTGCAACTTTGGGATGAAGGAATTACTGAAAACTCCAGTTCAGATGGATTTATACCAGAATTCTATACACAGTTCTTTGGCTGTATTATCTAGATACTTAGAAAGCCTATCTCATTCTACTCTACAGATCTCATCCAGCAGTATGGAAAACAAAATCACAGTTGCAGACCTGGAGGGACCTGGAGGAAAAACTGCTGCAGGATCTGGCAGTGATTTTTGGTGATTAAAGGCTTCTCCCTACATCTTGAGGTTCCCAAAGGCTTCTCCGGAGCAAAAGAGAGCTCTAGGGAACCTCAGATCCTAAAATGGGGGAATAGGAAGCATTTAATTAATTTAAATTAGATTTTACCAATGCCAGTTGATTACATAATTAGCTTTCACCAGTATGAATTTCCACCCGCTAGATTTTGGCCAATATATCCTATGATATGGTATGGTGTAGTGGATAGTGTGATAGACTAGATCCCTGCTCTGCCATGGAAAATCACTGGGTTACTGAAACTTGCAAAGCTACTCCTTAAATATCTCATGTATCTAGAAAGTCCTATTAGGGTTCCAACGTGATGGCACAGAACAGCAACACATATTTAAAAGGGAATAAAAAACCACAGAAATTCACAGATTCTGTTTTTCTGTTTTCTGCTTGCCTAATAAAAGCTTTAATTCTTTCTGTATTACATCCTCTATGATTTTGTCTCTTGAGACACTAACCTGTTCTTGTACATCTTCGAATTCTGAGCTGAGTAGTTCTATGAAAATGGGAACAGCACCTGCTTGGATCACAATCCGAGTCTGAAGGGAATTTCCAGAGGCGATGTTAGTCAGTACCCAAGCAGCCTCAAACTGGAACAAGAAAAAATGACATTTTTTTTCACAGTAGCCATTTGTACAAAGCATGATGATCAAACCTACCTGGATCTGCACAGCCATGTGCTAGGTGGCCAAATGGCAACAGACACAGACAAAATGGGTTTCCCAGCCTGACTCAACAGATGTATTAAACATATTTCCTTCTTCCATTCCACCCATATGCTTTCTATATGCAGCTCTGTGCATAAGAGCCTGGGAACTAAAAGCTGGCAGTGGGCACTGAGGTCGGGGAGGCTTTCTGCTTCTTGGGCTTCCAAAGCTGTACCCGCTGCCCTCTGCCTCCTGTCCCCAATATTCTCTGCCTCCTGTCCCCATGGGGACAGGAGGCAGAGGGCAACGGGGGTGGGAGACTGAGGGCAGTGGAGGGGGTTTGGACGCCCGGGAAGTCGGCAGCGGGCATGGAGGTTGGGACGGCTATCAGCTTCCCAGGCTTCCAAAGCTGCACCCTACGGTGACGGGAGGCAGAGGGCAGCAGGGACAGGAGGCAGAGGACAGCGGGGGGAGCTTT